ATATATATATATATATATATATATAGAGAGAGAGAGAGAGAGAGAGAGAGAGAGAGAGAGAGAGAGATTTCAAAACCTTTATTTTACTGATGATCCTCTCCAAATGAAATCACACCCTAAGAGTTCCATCAGATCCCCCATATAAAGGGGTGATCTTCTATTTATGGTATAGATTATCTCACTCTTACAAGGATGATTTTGATAGGATCCCTACTATCATATGTTGAGCGCTGCGGAAACCAAACAATCAAACCAACGTGCTACGAAAAATCAAATCAAACGAACGTCGAGAGAAGACCAAACGAACCAAATCAATATCACAAATACAAACAACCAATTTTAACATGGTTCGGCAAGTTGCCTACGTCCACGGGGCAAGAAGGGGATAGGGTTTTTCACTAATAGAGAAGAAGAGTACAAACTAAGATTACAAATCACTCAAACTCATCAATTAATCTTACCAATAAATCTCTAATTCTATCCAAACAAAACCCTAACCAATAGCTCAGAAAATACCTCTTTTCTGTGCTCCAAATATCCCTAATTTTCTTCTACATTTGCCCTCTGTATCAACGAAGCCCTCTTTTACCCAAAAGTCGGCTCCTAGCACTTACACGCAGCTGTTAGCCCTTATGTTTTGATGATATTTTATAACCATCATTATCGGTACTAATTGCTTGTTAAGTGACAATATAGTTAATATATACATATCAAGCATGTTAGTACCATATATGGAGGATTGGATGGAATATGCGCTATAACGATGATATCCAAAGGAGGAGGATGCATAGTGATGAAGCAACGTTCATTCAAGAATACTAAATACAATAAGAAGCTTCATCCAACTCAAGTTATATCAAGACTTAAAGAATTGTATTCTACGTGAGGATATTAGCCAGTTTTTATTTTCTCGCTAGTGCTAAAATGTAGGCAAATAGTTTAGATTTAAATTAAAGCTATTGGGATATCACACACATGTTTTCATACTTATAGTCTTGAGCGTTTTCACAAAAATACTATTTTTCACAAGTATGAGGACCTATTAGCAAAATTCCTTTTTCAAACAATTTGTTTTTAATGTCAAAAAGATTTTATAGAGTTTCACAAAATTTTGGAAGTCAATTAAATATTTTACAGAATTTTTAAGAGAGTCAAAACCAGGTTTTTTTTAATGTATCAGTTTGCGGTCGACCGCCACGATCGACCGCGCCTGAGTTCATTTGTCAGTGGACAGCAGAGACTTTCACGGTCAACCGCCGCGGTTAACCGTGAGCTCGAGATTTCCTACGATCGATCGCCGCGGTCGACCGCAGAAGTCTCTAGACTTTTTCATAGTTTCTGAACTGTTTGGCGGTCGACCGCGAAAATAGCACGGTCAACCACCGCTTAATTCAAACGGTCTTCTGGTACAATTATCAACGTCGATTGTA